GCTGAACACTTATATCAGTTTGTGTGTAATTTCTGTCCCTAGTCCAGGTCTACTAATAGATGTAACAATGTAATGGAGTGGACAGTCACGTCTGGCTTGCAGTTACCCTGCATTTTGTGTAATTATTTTTAGCACAGCAAAATGGAGACAAATCACTACTAGATAGATGTTTTACAACAAACTATCAAGCTTTTTTGGTAGTATAGACCAATTGTATATTTTGTAGCTCTCTAGATATATTAGATAAAACATGCATATTCTACTTGAGCCCAGTTCACTATTTCTTTTGCACCTTGTACAATTACACTAGGGAAAATGATTATACAGTCTACACCAATGATTCTCAACTAAGATCCCATGGCACTCTGGGGTGCCTTGGAATTCTTTTAAAGGTTCTGTGGTGTGCCACACAATCATATAAAAATGCCATTCAGATTTGGCACACCAGGTACAAGTGGTCTGATGACAAAGCTGTTAACATATCCTGTGGGAGACCCAGAGATGTGAATATCAGCACTCTTAGGTCTGTAAACATGATTCACAAAATAAACCCAGAGATTTCAAACAGGAACCCAGAGTGTTAGGACATTCTGACCTGTTGTGACCTCTTTGAGTTTTTTGCAGAAACGGAATTAACTTTTTGTAGTTTAAAAAAAAAAAAGTGAAATCAAAGAGCTGGCACTTTCCAAGGCGTGCCTTGAGTCTACTGAGGAGTGCTTTTGAAGTTTATTACGGGTTGCCTTGAGTCTAGAAAGGCTGAGAACTACTGCTCTATGCACACACATATAGCTGCCTAATTTAGGGTTTTTGAGTAAAGGAAAACGGATAGCTCACGGATCCTTGATTCATGGAGCACTTTGTTTTGACAGTTAGGACACCTCTATTCAAAATATTTTAAAACATTGAAAATGTTAACAGAGTATTTAAAACGTACATCTTGGGGCTTGAGAAAAATCACAAACTCCTATGCAATGAAAACAAAATAGCCAATCTGCAAATGAAATATAGTAGTACATTTTCTAAAAATTGATATCCAAGAAATGAAACCTAACAATTCAAAAAAATGACAAATATCTTTTTAAACCTATTACATGCCAAATATACATTCCATTTTTATTAGGGATGCACCAATATTTTGGGGGCCAATACCAATAGCCTATTTTTAAGGAGGCACATCGGCTGATACCAATCCGATTTCTGATACAGCTGCGTGGAGCTGGTAAGTCTTTTGTGGTGGATGGGGAGTGGAGAGGTAAGAGGTATGGAGGGGGCAGATCAAGGCCCCTGCGGTGAGGGAGGGAGTGGGGCTGGGGTAGATGCTGCCCAGCTGGGATGGGGTGGGGTGGGGCAGGGGATGGAGCTGCAGCTTCTCCAGGGGATGCATGGCAGAGGATGTGGCTCCCGACACTGCACGCACCCTGGGAGGGCATGGGGGAGAGGGTGTGCCCCCAGATCTGTGTGGGGGGAGGCTGCACCTGGGACCGGAGCTGCTCTAGGTTCTTCCTAGTACACGGAGGCTGTGCTCTGGGCTGCGGGGCCGCACTTGGGACTGTCCCGATGCATGGGGGCTATGCTCGGCGCAGACAGTGGTGACACTGGAAGGTTGGCTACAGGGAGGCTATGCCGAAATTTGGGGTGGCTGCAGCCCACCCAGTACCCTCTCCTCCCAGCACTGCCACCGAACACCCCGAGTACAGCCCCCACACATCGGGAGCACATCCCTGAGCACAGCCCCCAGGCACCAGGAAAAGCCCGGCGCAGCCCTGGCTCCACCCTGCAGTTGCAGCCCTCCAGCCCCGCTTGCAGATCTGGAGGCACATGCCCTCCTGGGGTATGCACAGTGGCAGGAGCTGCCCCACGTCCTCCAAACAAGCTGCAGCTCCATCCCATGCCATCCCATCCCATGCCCCACCCCCCCGGATGGGCAGCACCTGCCCCACTCCCCCCCTCTCTGCGTGGGGCACTGATCTGCCCTGCTACACCCCTTCCTTCCCCGCTCTTCTTCCACCACAACAGACTTACCAACTACATGCAGCTCTCCATGTTGCCAGGCTGTGCTCCTCGCTCCCTCTGTGATACGCTGGTGCATGCATTCAAGGGCATTTATGGGCCAAATTATTGGCCACATCAGTTTTCCGAAGTCTATAGCTGCATGCAACAAATTACTAAATTGCTACTGTAACTTATGTGTTGTGATGCTTCATATTTTATTCTATATGAAAATCTATATTCTATGTAAAATACCAATTTTATGTGGAAACTGGTAGTTTATTTTAGTAAGACAATGGTTTATACATTTCCACGTAGTGTTTTTCCTAATCAGGGAGGCTGAAAGGGGATAGTTAACTTAGGGTTCCTTGAAATTCTGTTATTTTTCAGTGACTCTTCTGATGTCTCAGAATGCTTATCAGCTAAGTTATTGTACATTTTCCCCTTGACTTTCCATATAGAACAGCAAGCTTGAGTAGCATTTTAGGACATACTGGGCATGGCTACATGTACTATTACTGTGCATGAATACATTCTAGAGCTTATTGCTCCAGAGTTTATTGTTCCCAGGTGCACTGTTTGAATGTGCACCCAGAAGCAATTAACTCCAGAGCAATAAGTTCACAGTTTATTCATGTGCAGCACATGGAGCTGGGTTGGAGCAGTCCTGGATGGCAGAAGGCCCTGGGGAGGTCAGCCTGCCAGTCTAGGGCTGCTCCCCCTCCCAGCTCAATGTGCTGCACAGCAGCTGGCTGGGGCATGAGGGAGCTTCAGTGTAGAGCTAGCTGGTAGGCAGCCCCTCCAGCATCTACATATTTACAAATACTATCCTGTTGTGGAGTAAACTAGTTTACTCCAACCTAACAGGGGAGCACACATAGATGATGAGACATTTACTTTTCAGTAAACATCTTATACAGATGTGCCCACTCCTATAGATTTAAAATGAAAAAAAAAGATTCCTAATATTTATATTTTCTACTGTATTGCAAAGCTGAATCAGTTCAGATCATGGCATAAAAATACAAAGTACAAGAAAATAATACACCTGCTATTTCCAAAGTTGTGTTGTTTGCGATGTATATGTGGTAGCAGTATTCTACTCCAGCTTAAGTACAAAGGACTAGATCAACGGAGACTGGTCTATGTCCTAAAGCCCACATTATCTGTTACCATGTGGTCTGGAGAGAGATGAGCAATGAGGGTCTACAACCAAACCTTTGTGGGTAGGCCCTTCCCCCTCCTACCTCCCCTCTCTATTACATGAATGATGTCCTCATATCTCATTCATAAAGCTGCACACATTCTGTTGCCAAAGTAGCCTTTACACATTAAGGGGTAGTCATAGTTTACCACAGGTTTTGTTTTCATTATTACTGATATTCTGGATTCCCTCTCATTAATCCCAGGATTTATTTCAGGGGTGAGGTAAGAATAATGCTATAAAGATTTTTATCAACACTTAGCAGGTAGGTTAATAATCAGCCTCATTCCCATTCTTTAATAAAATTGATATAAGAAGAATTTTTTGAATGTCAGTCAATATTTGTTCCTTAATAGAAAGAAATATAAGAGGTCTAAATCTGAGGAATTTAATAGATCAGCCAAGATTAAGCAGGGATTGGGATGTGGGAGAGGGTGAAGGCTTCTACAGATTGTCTGCGTTCTTTTGGGACTCATAACAAGCTTGCAGTTTCTATCATGTTTTATCCCATAAGGAACTGGAAAAAAAGTAACTGTAACAATTATAGCTTCCAGTACAAACCAGGGATGGCTTCAATACTAAATAACTTCATCTTAATATGATTGAAAAAGTGCCATTATTCATAAAATTAATTACTTTGTGCCGAGTAGAGCCTGCAAGCTGCCAGCATACATTAAGCTGTCATGAATAAACTTACCCTCCTCTTTGCATGTGGTGCTGGCTCTGGAGTGTTGGGGGATGTAGATTCATTTGGTGTTTCTGAGGTTGAGCTAAGAGATGAGTTACTGCTTGAAAGTTCTTTGTTCTGCCGTTTAGTTCCGAATGGTAAAAGAGAGGCCACAAAGTCTGACACATCCTTTTGCTCTTCTCTCTGAGAATCCTGCTTGAGTTTATAGGCCCGGTCATTAGCAATCACCTGGGACAAGGGCATTCCAAAAGCCTGAGGAACAAATTCTGCAACAAGAAAAATAATATTTACTGTTAATTTCTTTGCAATGATCTAATAAAGCCTCCTCATTCTTCAAATATATAATATAGTCTAAGATGTGTATAGCAGGTTTACTTGGCAATCAGAAAGTTGCCTGACATGGGATAGGCAGTTAACCCTTCTGCTCCATCTCACCTGCTGGCAGTGGTGTATTATGAGGTCCTAATGTATTCAAGGCTATTATTTGTGAGCAAGTGTTCTGAGTAGCAGGTGTGATCAGCTAAATTGAGAATGTTACCTTATTACTCCGAACTTGTTCAATTTTTAATGAGGTGCAAACAGCTGAAAACAGGTTCCTTCTACATGAACTGGCAAGTTTACTTAAAATCAACTTAAACAGCTTTTATTATTGAAATCAATAGGATTTTGCAAATGTCTAGTACTATTTTCATTACAAATCTCCTCCACCTTACCCACAGGCATACCAAGAGGGTACCAAACTTTCACAATACTAACTCCATAGCCTAGATGATGATAATATACTGACCACAAAGTGCAGGATAACTGAACAGAGCAGGCATTGTACTAGGAGTCATTGCACTTGGGTTCAAATGCCAGCTGTACTCTGTACTTAACTTTGGGAAAGTCATTTAAGCTCAAATCAAAGGTATCTGGGTGCCTAACTTCCATTGTAATCACATGGTTGTTAACTATCCATGCATACCTTTGCATGAATATCTGAGCCCTTGTCTGCATCTAAAAATTGTGCTGCTTCAACTATACTAGTAGAGGTAAAAAAAATAGTAAGTGGGTGTAGTTATACTTGTATGAAGGTGCTTCTTGTCATTAAGGCTAGAGGCATACATTCAAAAATCCTGAGCCTGAATTGGTTCAATCTTTGCAGGTTAGTCTAACCTGGCTAGGATGAACTGGTTTGTAACTGTACAGATATGCCCCCTGGATTGAAAAAATGCAGGCACATTCCTGTAGTGGCTCAGGCCAGAAGCTGGGGGGCACTACAGCAGCCCTCCTTTCCCTTCCACAATACTGAACTGAGTAGGAGGGGTGTGCCCAGGCCCTGGCAGGATGCTCTGATTAGGGAGGAGTTTCCCCCCCCTTGCTGCTCCTGACCAGCAACCAGGGAGTTACACAGCATTTACTTACACAGCAGGGAGTTAGTGTTTATCAGCCCATCGAGAAAACAAAAGCCACTCTCATTACTACTTTTAGCTCCAAAGAGCCCTAAGCAGACACTGTCCTGCTGGCTACAGGGAGTGTTGTGGAGGGACACAGGGAAGTCAGGCAGACCCTGCTGTGCCTGCCATCTCTGTTGGAACTCCAACTGGGGAGCAGAGGGGAGGGGCCAGCCCAGCTCTCTGGAGCAGAAAGCCTCACTCAGAAAGTATGTGGGGATGCTGGAGGACTCTGATTTAACTTAAACAAGGAAGAGGTCTGGGACAGACATTGCATAAACTGGTTTGACCCAAATCAGTTAAGTCTGATACTACATTCAATCAGGTTTATCTTAAGCCAGTGGCTCAGCCATTTTCAAACTAGTTTATGTGCACTGAATGTCTGTTCTGTTACAGGTTTAAACCAGCTTCTGATTACTTAAAACAGTTTGTTTGTCTGTAGCCTAAGGTTACTTTTACACATGAAGGGGAATAAACTATACTAATGTCAGGCATATTTATAACATACCTCAGCACCACTCCAGGCCATCTTATACCGCCATCCCTCCTACCCCCCTTCCCACTGATACTTACTTTCTTGGCTCCAGCCACAGCAAACATTGATAAATCTGACAGCACCTGGAGCAGCTTGTGAGATGGGAATTGGGAGGAGGGGAGGGAAAGGGATTTAGCTGGTCTGTTTGGGTGGAGGGGGGCGGTTAGAGGCAGAGGGGTTAAAATAGCCCAGTGCCAGGAAAACTGTTAGGGAAAGCGAACCCTGATAAATCTGGTGGCACATGGAGGAGCTTGTAGAATAGGTC